GGGGGCGGGGAGGGGTTAGGGGAGGGCTGGGGCGGGGTGTCTGGGAGGTGGAGGTGGAGGTGGGGGGGCCTGGACCCCAGACTCGTGGGCCCCTGGGGTTGGGGGTGGGAGCAGGGGGCCTGGGGGCCTTACCCTAGTGGTCCAGCAGAGAGCATAGCGCCAGGCCCTAGGAGGGACCGAGGACCAGGTGACTGTAGCGACCGGTCATCATGGAAATCCTGGACAGGCGCTGCTGGACAGACAGACGGATTGGCAGGGCCCGGGGCTTTCCTCTCCGGGGGCCTGATCCCATCCTGATCGATAGGCACCAGCCCCGGGGCGCTGTCCTCCTGCAGCGTTCAACTCGGCCGTTCCCCACCTGCTCCACCCCAGAGCTGGCCGCATCACGGCCCCCCCCAGCTACCCCAGGGGCCTTTCCCCTCCCAGGGGACCCCAATCTGCGTCCCTCTGTATTGACCCCTGGGACTTGGTGCCTATAAAACCCACTTGACCCCATGGACCGTGTGCCATGCTGGGTATGTACAGCCCCGGGCACATCCCTGCCCTTGCCCTTGCGCCTGCCCCCCTGCCACCTGAAGCGGGGGTGAGAGAACGGAAGGAAGCTGCCCCGCTCCCCCCTCCCGGCCCCAGCGTGGGAATGAGCAGCGTGCAAAACCCGCCCCATCACTTCCCCGTGTGGTTCCTGGCACCGGGGCAGCCGCCTCCTGCAGCGCTCCGGGCGGCTCGGAGCCCGAGCGCGCCATGGCCGTGCCGCTCGCCCTCTGCCTGCTCCTGCTGGGGGGGGCCCGGAGAGGTGGGTCGTGCTTTTGGGGTAGGGGGCCACATGCCACTGCCGGGGGCACCGTGGGCATGGCTCCGAGGCTGCCAGAATGAGGAACCGGGGGGCTTGAGGGGGCGGTTGCGGTGTTTCGGGGGTGGGAGAGGGCATCCTACCAGCTGCAGGGGGTGGTTTGGGGAGGGGAAAGGGTGTTGTGGGGGGTTAAGGGGGCAGTTGGGATGCATGGTCCCAGCTGTGGGCAGCGGAGCTGCGCTCGGGGCTGCACGTCATCGTGGTCACCGTCAGGGAACAGGTGTGAGAGCACACCCGCCTGCGGTTTGGCCTGGCCCTGGCAGGCAGGTTGGGGACCCTCGGTTGCTAGGGCGCCTGAAGCCGGGGGTCCTCAGTCGGCAGGGACAGGCACATCTGTTGCTAGGGGCATCCCGTGCCGGGTGTCCCATGCCTGGGCCCTTCGTGGCAGTCGCTAAGGTGATGCTAAGGCAGGGGTGGGCAAAATGCAGCCTGCAGGCCAGATGCGGCCCGCCAGGCCATTCTATCCAGCCCACGGGGCCCCTAAAACATGTAGAAAATGAATATTTATCTGCCCCCGGCTACCTGTCCTGCGGCCCTCGATGGCTTGCCAAAACTCAGAAAGCGGCCCCCCGCCCAAAATAATTGCCCGCCCCCACGCTAAGGCCAGGGTGGTCCATCCCAGTCATCCAGGGGGAGACAATCGGTGGCCCTCGGCGACAGCTGTGCCCGGCCTCTCGGCCCTTAGCAACCGTCTGGGCCTGTGTTCTTAGTGCTGGTGGGCCAGCACCCTCGGCCCTTAGCAACACCTGGGCCGGTGCCCTCAGCCCTTAGCAACTGTCTGGTCCTGGACGCTTAGTGATAGGCCCAACCGGTGCCACCAGCCCTTACCAACGGTTGGGCCAATACCCTCGGCCTTTAGCAACAGTCATGCCTGGCCCCTTGGCCCTCGCCCGGGTTCCCTCGGTGTCATGCTGCTGCCTCTTGCCTCGTCGGGCCTTAGGCTTCGAGCCGGGACAGACAAACCCCCTCGTTTTATCCTTTTTCACCCAAAAGGAGCCCCCAGTCGGGAGAGCAGAAGCCAGGAGTCCCCCCAAATGTTCATAGATTCATAGATTCATAGATGTTAGGGCCGGAAGGGACCTCAATAGATCATTGAGTCCGACCCCCTGCCTAGGCAGGAAAGAGGGCTGGGTCTAGATGACCCCAGCTAGATACTCATCTAACCTCCTCTTGAAGACCCCCAGGGTAGGGGAGAGCACCACCTCCCTTGGGAGCCCGTTCCAGACCTTGGCCACTCGAACTGTGAAGAACTTCTTCCTAATGTCCAGTCTAAATCTGCTCTCTGCTAGCTTGTGACCATTATTTCTTGTACCCCCCGGGGGCGCCTTGGTGAATAAAACCTCACCAATTCTCATTCAGAAACCAGGAGGCAAAGCAGCTCCAGGCATGCGGGGTCCACATTTTTAGGTCAGGGTTTTAGGTGGGGGTGGGTTGACTCAGAGCGGGTTGACGTTTAGCAGCAGGGCAGGTGGCAGGCGGTTATGTTAGATGTCTGCAGGACCCAGGCGCCCGGGGGCACACGCGTATGCACACAAGCGTGCACATATGCAATCACCTTAATCTTGCAAACGTGTGGGCCAGAACAGTGACTTCCTCTGCAGTTGTGGTTTACACTTGTAAGACACAGCGGAAAAATAAGTGTCTCTCGTTTGCTCTAGAGAGATCGAGGGGGGTGGGGAGGGTGCTGGGAGCCCGGACGCCTGCGTTCACTTGGGGCGGGGGCTGGACCTCTGGGTTCTCCGAGCGAAGCGGGTAGTCGGGTCCCTCCGCTGTAACCCACCGGACTGCGCTCTTGCCAAGGAAGGGTGTGGGCCCCCCTATCTCGGGGCAGGGACAGGGCGGAGGGGTGGCGGAGGAGACACCGGGACGCCTGGGTTCCTTCCCCAGCTCCGCCTGAGATTGCAGTGACCGCCCCCGCACCAAAAACCAAATGTGGATTTGAGACCGGTTTAAAGGGATCAACCACAGCCCAGGTCCTCCAGCAAGGTGGAGGCGGGGTCTGGAGGACATCTCCAGGCCACTGGGCTTGGCCTCAGGCTTTCGACACTGCCACCAGTTCCTGTTTTGCTCGTTATTGGGGGTTGGTTAGAACAGCTGGGGGAGGGAAGGGGGGGCACAGGATGAGGATAACACCCCATCCCTAGCTCAGTAACAATCGCAGTGGTTGTGCCAGTAGCTAGGTATACAGAGCACCGTGCCTGGGGCTGAGATGCAGCCAGCTCTGGGGTGGGGAGCAGCAGTGGCTGAGTGTACCAGAGCTGTGGCCAGCTCTGGGGTGGGGAGCGGCAGTGGCTGAGTATAACGGAGCTGCGGCTGGCTCTGGGGTGGGTGCCAGGGGCTGGGTGTAATGCAGCTGTGGCTGGCTCTGGGGTAATCGCTGGAGACTGGGTGTAGCAGAGCTGCAGCCGGCTCTGGGGTGGGTGTCATGGGCCGGGTAAAATGAAGCTGCAGCTGGCTCTGGGGTAGGCAGCAGGGGCCAGGTGTCAGAGAGCTGTGGTCGGCTCTTTGATGGGTGCTGGGTGTTGTGGAGCTGCGGCCGGCTTTGGGGTGGGCACCGGGCTCCGAGTGCAATGGAGCTGCAGCCAGCTCTGGGGTGGGCATCGTGGGTTGGGTATAATGTAGCTGCAGCTGGCTCTGGGGTGGGCACTGTGCCTTGGGTATAACAAGGATCTCTGCCTCTGCTCTGTATCCCCCTAGGTCCGGCCCCCACCCTTGGGTACAACCTCGACACGGCCCACCCAGTTGTCCTGGCTCCTGATGTCGGCCCCAGCTTTGGGCACCAGGTCCTGCACTTTGGGAATGACAGGTAGGGGCAGCCCCAAGGTGGGTCAGAGGAGGGCTAAAAGCCTGGACGTCTGGGCTCTCTGGGAGGGGAGTGGGGCTGGGGGGTGAGAGCCCGGACACCTGGGATCTCTAGGGAGGCAGCCAGGACTCCCTGGTGCCACGAGGAAACTCTGGGCCTCCGCCTGCGCTGGGTGCAGTTCCTCTTGTCCATGCTCAGCCTGGTTCCCCTTTCACTACCCTAAACCCCTTGGCTGTCACCAGGAAGCCGGGGGCACATGGTAGCCTGACTGGCAGTGGGGCGAGGGAACGAAGGGACTAGGGCAGAGGGCGCTGGGACCCCAGACACCTGAGCTCTCTGGGAAGGGAGTGGGGGCTGCGGCGGGTTGGGAGCCTGGACACCTGGGTTCTGCAGCCGGCGTGTCTAACCTCTGCCTCTTCCCGCAGGCTGGTGGTGGGGGCCCCCGGGGACTACAACACCACGGGGCACCTGTACCAGTGCTCTGTCCCCACCAACTCCTGCGAGCCTGTCCTGGTGTCCGGTGAGCTGGGGGAGAGGGGGATCTGGGTGGGATGGGCTGAGAGCGGCGGGCCTGGGAGCCCGGACACCTGGGTTCTCCGCGAGGAGAGTGGCATGGGTGACCCCCACCCACCCCTCCTCTGTTTACAGGTAGACTCGAGACTCCCCACCTAGGCATGTCCCTGGCCAGCGACGGCACACGGCTGATGGTGAGTGTGTGGCTGGGGCGGAGCGGGGCAGGATGGTGGGGATGGGGCTGGCCTGACCCCTGCTTCTTGCCTCCTCCTCCCCTCCCCAGGCCTGCAGCCCCGGCTTGACCCAGGTGTGTGACCGGAACCTGTACCTGAGCGGGCTCTGCTACCTCTTCACCGGCAGCAGCCTCAAGGATCCCCGGGAGATCACGCCCGGATACCAGCGTGAGGACCCAGGCACCCCCTACTCTCATCCCCCAGCCCCCCCTCCCCTCCTGGAGAGCCCAGGGGTCCAGGCTCCAAGCCCACCCTGCTCTCACCCCTCAGGTCCTCACAGGAACCCAGGTGTCCAGGCTCCCCTGTGCTTACCTCCCAACTGACACTCCTGTCCCAGAGACCCCAGGTGTCCGGGCTCCCAGCTCCCTGCTCTCACCCCTTATCCCCCGGTGCCCTCCCAGAGAACCCAGGTCTCTGGGCTCCCAGCCCCACCTGCTCCTGGCCGGCAGGGCACCCAGGCATCCTGTGCCCGCAGAGTGCCTGAAGGGCAAGGTGGACCTGGTCTTCCTGTTTGACGGCTCCAACAGCATGAACCAGTTGCAGTTCAGTCTCATCTGCAGTTTCATGGTGGAGGTGATGGAGAAACTGAAGAACAGCACCATCCACGTGCGTGCCGGATGCCTGGATTCTTGGGGAGGAAGGGGGCTGGGGGTGGGAGCAGGGAGGACTGGGAGCCGGGACGCCTGGGTTCCCTGGCTGCTCTGATGCCCCCGTCTCCTCCAGTTCGCCGCGGTGCAGTTCTCCTCGGACGTGAAGACAGAGTTTAACTTCACACAGTACACGCAAAACCCCAATCCCCGGGAACTGCTGAAGAACGTGAAGCACATGAAGTGGCTGACAGACACCTTCAAGGCCATCAAATACGTGGCGTGAGTGCCTCACCCGGCCCCTGGCACCACCCCAGAGCTGGATGCAGTTCCGCTATACCCAGCCGCTGGTGCCCACCCCAGAGCTGGCAGCATCTGAACTCTTCCTCACTTTTCTCTCCTCCTGCAGGGATCACGTCTTCACCCCTGAGAGCGGAGCACGAGATGACGCGAAGCGCGTCATGATCATTATCACCGACGGGGAGGCTTCGGATAACGGAGATGTCATTGCTGCTGAGAAGAAAAAGATCACGCGCTACATCATTGGGGTGAGAGACCCAGGCGTCCTGACTCCCAGCCCCCTGCTCTCCCCCCCAGCCCCCACTGCCCTCCCAGAGAGCCCAGATGTCTGGGTCTGGGCTCCACTATGCTGTCCCCACCCCAACAGGTGGGCAATAACTTTGGGAACATCAACGTCACCCAGTTCCTGACAAAGTTCGCCTCCCAGCCCAGCAGCGAGTATGTCAAGGTCCTGGAGAGTTTCGAGAAACTCAGCGGGCTCTTCAAGGAGATCCAGACCAAGATCTACACCATTGAAGGTGCCTAGGACGCGCCCTCTTCTGGTGTGGGGCCAGGGGCTGGGTATAAGAGAGCTGCAGCTGGCTCTTGGGTGGTGCTTGGAGCCAGGTATAATGGAGCTGCTACTGGCTCCGGGGTGGGCACCAGGGGTTGGGTGTAACAGAGCTGTGGCAGCTCTGGGGTGGGTGCTGGGAGCTGGGTGTAATAGCTGTGGCCAGCTGTGGGGTGGGTGTTGGGGGCCTGGTGTAATGGGGCTGTGGCTGACACCATGGGTTGGGTGTCATGGAGCTGAGGCTGGCTTGAGGATGGGGGCTGGGTGCCAAGTATAATGGAGCTGTGGCCAGCTCTGGGGTGGGCACCAGGGTCCAGGTATAATGCAGATGTGGCTGGCCCTGGGGTGGGCATGGGGGGCCGGCTGTAACTGGGCTGTGCCCTGATGTTGCCCTTACGTGTCTTCCTGGCAGGGACCAGTGATAAAACCTCCTTCCACCTGGAGCTCTCGTCCAGCGGGTTCAGCTCCCACTTGTCCCAGGTACCCCAGGCTGGGGCGTGTTGGGGGAGAGGGGCCAGCTGTCAGACAGCAGGGGTGGGGGTCCAGGGTCAGGAAATCCCCCCTCCCCCGTGCTGCACCCTACCCCTGACTCCAGCTGCCTCCCTGTTTCTGTGTCCCTCCCCCCCAGGGGCAGATCCTGGTGGGGGCCGTGGGAGCTGACGACTGGGCTGGGGGCTTCTTCGACCTGGAGGGTGACCCCGGCACCCCCAGCACCAAAGAAACCTTCGTGGCCAGTCCCATGCATAGCAAGGACAGCAAGGACGCCGCCTACCTGGGTACGGACCCCCCACTCCCCCCCAGGCCTGGCTTTCCAGTCCCCTCATCCTCCCCAGTCCCACTTCGTTCCACCTCCGGCTGCCTACAATCCCCTCCTTCCCTCTCTGCCCCTGTCCCCCTCAGTCCCCTCTGTCCCAGCCAAGTCCCCTCACTCCCCACAGTCCACCTCAGTCTCCCTCCATTCCCCCCAGTCCCTCTCAGTCCTGTGAACCCCCACCAGTGCCCCCAGTCCTCTCCAGGCTTCCCTGTCCCCTTCCACATCCCCGTCCTTCCTCGATCCCTTCAGTTTCCCCCGGTCCCTGCAGGCCCCCCAGGCATAGCAATTGGAGCAAAGGAGGGGTGCTCAACCTCCAGCCCACGGGCCAAATGGGGCCTGCGGAGCCATTGTATCCAGCCCACAGGGTTTGGGAACTTGGCAATGGGTAGGACCGCCCTTCTGTCTGCTAGATCCCCAAGCTGGGCCACGTCCCCTTCCCCGTGTCCCTCCAGCCAGCTGGGCGTGACACGTGTGTGCCTCCACAGGCTACGCGATGGCCATGCTGCGGAGAGGGGGGCGGACAGTACTGGGAGCTGGGGCCCCCCGGCATGGCCACGTGGGACGGGTGACCCTCTTCCAGCTCAACCCCCATGCCCGGCATTGGAACCCGATACAGGACCTCTCGGGGGAGCAGGTGCTTCGGGGTGGGGGTCCTGGCAGGGCAGGGGGCTGCAGGGGTCCTGGTGGGCTGGGCACAGTGTGGGGGTCTTGGGAAGGCTGGCTAGTTTGGGGGGGCATCGGTGCCGCCTGCACTCCCTGACCCCCTCCTCCCCCCACCTCGCTGGCCCCTCCCCAGATTGGGTCATACTTCGGGGGGGCATTGGCGGCCGTGGCCGGGCAGGAAGCCGAGGAGTTGCTGCTGGTCGGAGCCCCGATGTACGTGGGGCGGCGCCATGGCGGGCGGGGACCCATGGCGGCCGCGTCACCATCTACCGCTGGGCCCAGGTGAGCCCCAGCTGCGGACGCCTGGGTCCCTTTCCCTCCTACCCCACCAATTTCCTTTGCTGCTCCCTCCAGCGATGGGGCTCCCCTTCCCGGATACCTGGGTCCTTCCTGAGCCCAGCAGTGGGGGGCAGAGGGGTTTGTGGGGGGGTCCCGTACCCACACACCTGCGTGCATTCGGTGCTGGGGGGTGGGGCATGGTGGGTTCCCAAGGGCACCCCTGCCCAGTCACCTGGGTGCCTACTTCAGCCCATGGTGGGGTAGAGGGGTTTCATGGGGGTCCCCTGCTCTTGACACCTGGGTCCTTCCTGAGCCCAGTGGGGGGGAGGTGGCAGGGGTTCCCTCCGCTGACCTCTCTCCCCACAATATAGGAACAGCTGAAGGAGGCAGGGCAGCTGGAGGGGGTGGTGGGACAGCTGCTGGGCCGGTTCGGGGCAGCACTGGGGGCCGTGGGAGACCTGAACGGGGACGGATGGACAGACGTGGCCGTGGGGGCCCCACTGGAGGATGATGGGAGTGGTGCCGTGTACATCTTCCACGGGGGCCAGCGTGGCCTGCACACCCCGCACAGCCAGGTGAGCCCAGGGACCCAGGCGTCCGGGGGGGCAGGGGCTGGATTGGCCAGAACAGGGGACCCAGGAGTCCTGCCCCTGTGTCCTCTCCCCTCCCCACAGCGCGTGAGAGCCGCAGACATGGACCTGGGGCTGAAGTTCCTGGGGCAGGCGCTGGACGGTGGCACTGACTTGGACGGGGACAAGCTCCCAGACATCGCCGTGGGTGCCAGAGGACAGGTCCTTGTGCTCAGGTGAGCCCAGACGCTGCGGTTCTCTGGGAGGGGAGGGGAGGGGGCTGTGGGGTGAGAGCAGGGGCACTGGGCTGTCTGGGAGGGGAGTAGGGGGAGTAGTTCCCTCGAGGGGTCTGTACCCCAGATCGCACTGAAACCTTGTTCCACTGGGCCATTCCCTGCCGGCTCCACCCCAGAGCTGGCTGCATCGTGGCCCCTGTCAGCTGATGGGGGTGGGGGCAGGGGTTTTCCACCCAGGAGCTCAGACTCTGCCCCCCTTGTCCCCGTGTGCAGGTCCCGGCCCATTGTGCGGATCTTGCCAGTGATGAGGTTCCAGATGCCCGAGATCCCCGTGCGCCAGGTCGAGTGCTCAGGAGATGGCGGTGCCTGGAAGGACGTCGTCTTTGGCGTCTATGTCTGCTTGAATGTCACCCTCGACACGCCCCAGTACCAAGGTGACACCGCGGGGCCCAGGCATCCGGGCTCCCAGCTTTCCCCCCAGCTACCCCACTCCCCTCCCAGAGAACCCAGGTGTCTGGGCTCCCAGTCCCCCTGCTCTCACCCTGATACCCCCTACAGACCCCATCGCAGCCAACCTGCGGTACCAGCTGGAGATCGATGCCGACCGCATGAAGAGCCGCGGGGTCTTTGCCAACGGGATGAAGATCACAGAGGGGAACATCACTGTCACCAGTGACACCAGCTGCATTGAGCAGGAAGTCCGCATCGTGGTATGGCCTGGTCTGGCCCCTCTGGGGCTGAGCTTCGGCTGGCTCGGGTGCACCCAGTCCAGCGCACCAGCTCTGGGGTGGGCACTGGGGGCCAGGTTTAAGGGAACTGCAGCTGGCTCTGGGGTGGGCACCGTGGTGGGGAATAACGGAGCCCTGCACCTTTCAGAACTGCGTGGACGACATCATCACGGGCATCCGGGTCTCTCTGCGCTTCTTGCTGCAGAAGGATGAGGGTGGCCTGGGTCCCTACCCTGTCCTCAACCCCCTCATCAACTCCTCCTGGGCTGAGGTGAGTGGTGCCAGGGGCAGGATCTGGGGGGTTGGGCTGAGATGGGGGGACCTCAAAACACTGAACCCCCCTCCTCCCCGCTACTCCCACAGATCCCCTTCGAGAAGAACTGCGGAGAGGACCACATCTGTGAGGCTGATTTGCGCGTCAGGTTCAGCTCCGATGGGTAGGAGGGATTCTATGTGAGGGATTATGGTAGCTCCATTTTGCCCTGCAGAGGGTGCTGGGGGGGGCGGGGGGGCAGCTAGGGCTACTGTGGGGCAGGGGGAAAAGCAAGGGGGCAGCTGGGGATGCCATGGGGTAGGGGGCAGGGCCCAGCAGGGGGAGCCAAGGAGGTAAATGGTGCGTATTCTACATGAGGAAATATGGTAGCTCTCATTGAACCTGCAGGGAAGGGAGCAGGTTGTCAGGGGAGGGGGAGGTCCTCCTTCCCGGGGTTCCCTGGTCTCAACCCCCCACCGCCCCCACAGGCCACGCGACCTGTTGCTGTCACCCGTGGCCGAGCTGCGCCTGGCCCTGGACATGTGGAACCACGGGGAGGACGCGTACCAGGCTGGCCTGCGCCTTCGCCACCCCCCAGGGCTCTCCTTCCGCCGCGCCACCGCCACCCAGGTACCCCCCCTGAGGCCCCGCCCCCCATGCCCAGGCTCCGCCCCATTGAGAGGTGAGGCAAAGGGCTCAGGCTCTCTGCAAACTCAGGTTCTCCTTGGGCGGCGTTATACTAGGCTGTTCCCTACTTGCTCCACCCCAGAGCTGGCTGCATTGTGGGCTCCGGTGACCCCAGGAGGTGAGGGACAGGGGCAGGGACCTTCGCCCCCCAACCCAGGGGTCCTGCCCTGACCCTCCCACTCCACCCCAGGCTGGATCCCAGATCCGGGTGAGCTGTGATGGGTTGAATACCCCTGACTTCCCGGACCTCAGGACTCT